ATAAATTTTCAAAATATGAGAAAGTTGTACTAAAAAATTCGTAATCAAATGCCGAGGGAGAAATCCGAAATTAAGAAGGATGTTAACCATCAATATGAGAAATATAAATTTCTTTCAATTAAATTCGCTCAACGAAAGTTTCGGCTATACTAAATTAGCTCAATTTAAAATTTTTTGTTGCTATTAAAGAATTTTTAAATAAAGTTTTTAAATAACAGAACATAAACCTCAAATTTAATTTCGATATATGTATTTTCCAAATAAAGTGTTAACATGGAATTGATACCAAAGCTTTGTAGACAAAACAAAAAAATGGCAAAAATATTCAAGTCAAAATCAACTTAGGAACAAAGTATCACAAAATATGAAACGAATCCTATTTAATACTTCTGTTTATGTGCTGTTCCAATCATTATTTACAACCATTCTCAATGCTTCAAAATAGAATGCGTTGAAAATCGTAAAAATGCGCAAATCATCAAAATTTTTACAAATTTTCTACGTACAATTTACATACAACCAAAACACATTCATATTTACTGTTTTAGAACAGTAAATAGCGCCAAATTCTTCTTATAATATTTTATGATTTTTTTTTTTTGTTTATTTTACGATTTTGTGACTTATTTTTGGTATATAAAAAATAAAATCAAAATTTTTTTGTTTTTTTTTTTTTTTGACAACTCATAATGACAAAGGATAGATAGGCTTTTTTGACTATGATATGAAAATATTATGTAAGATAGGCACTAGTTTGTATTTGTAGATGTAGATAGAAACGGAATAATAAAATATAAAGCTTTTGGCTATATTTTCCATTAAATAAATGATCCAAATGCAAATAATAAGTAGAAGAAGAAACAAAAATAATAAAACATAATATTAAAATAAAACAAAAAAGTATCCTTTGTCCTTGAAATGGAAAAAAAAAATAAAAACAACAAACTGAAAAGGTTCTGTCACAAGAATTATCTTTAAAAAAGAGCCATTCTAAATCTAAGAAAAAGAGGAACAGAAAATCGTTAGTTTGGAATGAGAAAAAGAAGGTCAAGGAATGATAATACACTACTTGTTCCGTAACTAAAGACACTTCAGATATCTTTAATAAAAGCATGCAATACCTTTCTGACTGATTAGTATACCTCTTGTACTCAATCGAAGTTTAATTGTGCGGAAATTTTTAAATGGAAAAATCAAGTGTCTATATTTTATAAGACCTCTCAAAGTTTAAATGGGGTTCACTAAACCTTAAAACCTGAAAATAAAAACCCCTTGTATCATGTATAACTAACTATGACCAATTTTTTTTTCATTACTCTTCTGTGAACTTACCTTAAAATTTTTAAATTTTAAAATCATATTATCAAAAAAAATCTAACTTGAACTAGTCCCAGTGACAAAACAATAAACAGCGAATTTTTATGCTATTGCTATATCATAAAAGAAAGTAGGCAGAATAAATTGAAGTCAGTTGCAAATAAAATGATACCAAAATAAACCTACTCTTTATGTGATATACTTGCCACTTAATGAACCTTGAAATATAATTGATTTTCGTTATTGAAACAAGAAATTTTTAAACAAACATTTTTTTCTATTGCTAAATATGTAAACACCAGTTCACAAATTCCACTAGATAAGCTTAAAGGTCATGTTACAACAGGTTTATCTTTAATCAATTGAATCCAAACAATGTTGGTTTCATGACGTAAAATTTGCGGTGCTTAGTCTAATAAAATAATGAAAAAAATGTGTAGGTGTCTCTAATGATACAATCGTGGGTGTTATGATACAATTATGGGTACATATCTGACTCTAATATTAAATAGATAAGAATAAAAAAAAAAGTAAGGATATTTCTAGTGAAAAAAAGGACTCTTCGTTAAATACTTGTATACATATATATGTGTAGAAATTTCTTATTCTTAAAAATAGTTTGAGTTGCAAAAACACGCGTAGCATAATTTCTTTTAAATTATATTTTTAAATAATTTCCTTTTTCTTTCAATTTAAGGACACTTTTTTTACGAGTGGACATTTGGATTTTCTCTTTTTATTTACTATTCATGTATGAAATTGTGTGTGTTTTTATATTTTGTATATTAATTTCTAATTTTTTTCGTTATTTGTTTTTCTTATATACATATATGTATATGTACATATATAGAGTTAAAGTTAATGCCTCTCATTAACAAATTGTCCTCAACAAACTTAATTATGCAAAATAGAGTACAGTAAAGAATTATTAAAAAAAAAGGACCTTACGCGAAAAATAAATTTTTCTATTTTCCATTTGGTTTTTCCTTTTTTTTTTGGTATATGAACATTTTAATTTATTATACGAATAATACAAGAATTTTAATTATAAAATAAAATTAAAAAGAATAAAAATAAATCCAAGAATAATTATTTGCAGTAAAAAAAAAAAAACAAAAACGCAGAACGAAAAGGAAACGAAACGAAATGAAAAATATTTTTAAAAATTATTTCCGTTTTTGTTTGTTTTGCAGTGTTGGGACCAATTTTTTAAGCATAGGCGGAACAAATTTTGTCTTATGAATTTGAATATAGAAACATAGAAAATAAATGTCGTTTCATTTTGGAGAAAATTGAAATCTGCGCATTTATGTGTATCTTTGAATCTGCTATTCTGGTAAAAACAGCCATACTATTCACTTTGTATAACACATTCCACCATAGAGTTTTCGTTTGTTTATTTTTGAACTGCAATATTTTGTTATACACTCACAAATCTTTAGAGTATTTACTGAAGTCCAGTTGAAAAACTTGAACTTGCTTTAGTACACAAAAGCAATAAAAAATCTAAATTTCTGAAATTTTATCCAATATTTCCAAGGGGAAAAAAATTTTACGAGACCTTCGTAATTTAGTTGCTAGAAGTTTAAAATTTTATGTAGCGATTCTTATTTTAAAAAATATCCTCAATCCTTCATAAATAGCAATGCAGAACATTTTGTCGACCTATTAATATTCATATACTTCACAAATAGTAGTGCGCGAACTTTTTCTACCTCGGTGATACAAAACAGTATAGCCACACAGTATTTTCCTTGATAGTTGATATCAGGCACATTCACTTTCGAACGACTTGTTAAATGCAAAATTTTCGAAATACTTACTTTGGTTTGTATTAAGTATTCACATATCCGATAAGTCTATTGGTAACTAATCTAATACGGTATTACTTTATTATGGTAAAAAATCAAAGTCTTATATTATGCAAGTAAAATACTTGTTTGAAGCTTGCAAAAATATTTTCGATGATTCTAAAGTTTGAAGCATAAACATATTAACCTTATTGGCTAAATTTTGCTGTGACGAAAATAAGTTTACAAATTTAGCGTATTTTCAAACAAATTTCAATATAAATTCTTTTATATTATTAAAGAGAATTAAGGCAAAACTATTTGAATTTTCGAGAGTTTTTGATTATATACGAGAATTTGAATTTTCAAATAAAAATTATGTACTCGCCTACTTGAAAATTTTGGGAAAGTGTGTTTGTATTTGATTCTCACGAAATTGAAAATTACCCTGACTAATTTAAAACATGCATATTATATATGTATATAGGTACCAAATATTTAATTTCGATAATATAATGGAAGGGTACAAGAAAATAGATGATAAAGACAAGCAATCTTGATAAGGTCAAGTAAACATTTTAAAGAGGAAAAAATTATTCAAAATTCATAATAACGTAATTACGTATGTATATATACAATTTTCATATATATATACATATACGCAGTAGCAGTATTGCAATATCCTAAAATTTTATATCCTGTATACAATCAGGAGCGCAAATAAATCTTATAACTTTAACATCATCTCTAAGTAAACTTCAAATTTAAGGCCTTTTTGTTTTGTGTACACAAGCTAAAAAGAAAAATTACAAATGAATTTTGATTTCTGTGTACATTAGCCGAAAGGACCAAAGGAAACACAGTAATTATTGAAATTTTTTAGCTCTGTATTTATAATTTGCAAATATTTATAATATTCATTCAAAATTTGAATATTTATAAAATAAAAAAAAAGAAATTATGGTTGAAATGTTTTTGTTTTATAGAAAATAAAATGGGTTTTAGGGAACATTCGTTATGTTTCTAAATTATCAAAAATAAAATTTGATGTAATAATTGCATAGATTTAAGATTGAGCTCATGAATAAATATTGGGAATTTTAAGTAGATGTAATTGCAAAACAGTTTTTGTGTGTTTATATATGATGCAATCCGATTGTGCCTCGCTCGTCTGATTCATCTTCGTTTTACTGGTAATACAGAAGAACACCACGCTAACACATCAGCGAATAGATGCACTTTATATAAGATTAATGCATGTAAACAATATTAGAAAAAACATGCGAAGTTCAATTATCTAAATTTAAAATGGGCGGCATAATTGTAAATTTTGAGAGTACAAAGCTAGTGTTCATTAAACTCAATTAATAAAGAAGCCGGTGCTAAGTTTTCATATAATTATGTAGCTACATATTATTTTATAGCCATGCGGAAGTATTACTTTACTTCAACAATATGTTAGTACATTACAAGCCGCGGCAATTATTTCGCAAGTCAATTAATTTCAATTTATATTCGATTTTTCTTTTCCTTTTAAACCTAATATTCATTTGACAAGAAAATTAATATTTTTATTACTATAGTACGTGCATGACATTTCAATGTTAATTAGTTTAATTCGCTTGCTTTTTTTCAAATTGATTAATTACAAAAAAAAACTTTTCTAATTCATTATTAATAACAATTTTGACCTAGACAAGAAAAGAAAGGTGTACACAATTGCATTATGGGGCTTAACTTTCTGGATAATTTTGTAATTTTGTTTCTGAATAATGTAGACTAAAATCAATTTTAATTCTACGGTCTCAATTGATTTTCCCATTCATTTGTTAATAAATTCATTTTTGCTTTCTTATTTTATTAATAATTCTTCTATTTTCTATTTAATTTCAGATGATGGCACATAATACGACCGTCCAGCTAGGAGGAACAGCATTTTTAGTTTGCAAAGTTTCTGGAGTGGACAGAGTGGGTGTAAATTGGGTTTGTTTTGTATTTATTGGTGTTTGTCTGAATCTTGTTTTTTTTTTTTAGTTTATATTTATATGTATATAGTTTTGCATTTGAAAGTTAATTCTCTATATCATAAAAATATTTTAAAACCATTAAACAAAAGAAAAAAATAGTGGAATTTATGAAAATAGATTTTAGGTATTTTTCCTTGTTTTTTTCTCTTGTACATATAATTTTCATTTTTAAATTTTTTGGAAAACAAAATTTGAAGTAGTGATAATTTGATTACATGAAACAACAAAAATTTTTAGGTGTTTAATAAATAAATGTGGTGTCGACTTTAAAGGATGTCAACCTGAAATATCATTGGGGATCAAACATAATATTTAAGCTTTTACGATCTATAAAATCATGTGTGAATGATTCATTTTTAAATAAAATCTTTTGCCAAGTACTTGTCACATCAATATTACAAGGAGCTATTCCATTCTTCTAAAATAATGAATTAAGGAACAAAAAAAAAATCGATTTTCCAAAACGAAAAATACCAATTACTACCGCATTTCTTTTGATTAAACACAACATATTTTCTAAAGTATAAGTTTGGTTCGTTACATACATGCAGTATTATAAGCTGGCCACATGATTTTTCTTTTTGTTTCATGTAAAAGTACCAACATTTTTATGTAAACTATTAGTAGTTGCTTGTCGAACCACTTCACACTGAAATTGAAATGTTTATAATTGCAAATTTCTTCGTGTAAATATTTTAAAAGTAAATAGGTTTGATTAAATTAGTTTGCGCGGCTTTAGGCCGCCGCCGGACATCTTCCTTTTCCCTCCATTAGAACTAGCTCGATTTTCTAACAAACTGGTCGAGGTCTCTAGAATTTACACTCACTAAACCCGTAGTTCGCTGACAAAAAGATAATACTTATTATCTGTTATTATGTGTAATAACAATGTTAAATAGAAGTCGTTTTAATATAGACTCACCAAAATCAAGTATGTTTTATAATTTTTAAATTTCCTGAAGTCAATTTTGCTGCAATCAAGAGAAATCACAAATTTTCTTTCAATATATTTAAATCTTTAGCCATAAATCTAATCTTTAATTTTAAGTGCGAAAGTAAAAAAAAATTTAAAAAAAAACGCAAAAACAAAATGCTTTTTTTTTCCTTCACATTCACTTTATCAAACCGTAAGTCACGATATCCTTGAAAATTTTTTTTTATTAACAAGAAACTTGTCTTATGAAAATTGGGGGAAAAAAATCTTATTTAGAAAGTTAACGAAATGTGAAGTACAAAAAAAAAATTTACGTTTTTCTTTCTGTCGATATTTTATAGTTTTTTTTTAGCTTTTATAGTTTTCATTTTCTCCCTTTCATTCTATAAAAAAATTTGGAATTAAAAAAGGCAAAAAAAATTTTTTGTCACGTTTTCCATTTTCAGATATTAATTTCCACTTTAAATACTAATATTATAGTGTAGTAGTAGGGAAAAATTAAATGGCTAACAAAAAATTTACTACACCATGCATACACTTAAAATAATAAAATGAATTGAAAACTAGACCAAATCATTATTACGCGATTTAATTAACTAAAGGAAATTCAAGGACGACAGGAAAGCAAAACACTAAAAACAAAAAAAATTAATATTAATAAAATTCTAGTAAAAATTTCTTTTTTCATTTTGCGAATGAGTACAGCGAACAGGTACGAAAATTTATTCGAAAATAAATTAGAAAGAGAAAGAAATGAAAAGAATTTTCATTTACTGCTGTATAGTTTTTCTCTCTGTTTTCATTTGTTTTTTTATGAACTAAATAAGAATAGACGTACGTTTGTATGTGTGGATTCATTGTTTTTTTTTTGTTGCCTACACTTCACCTTTCACAAAATTTGATCTTTGTTATATTTTCGTTATTATAAAAACCATTCTTACAATAAGAACAGCAAAACAGTTACGAAAAAAGTAAGAATAATGGAAATATTTAATTTTAGCTTATATTCCGGGACATGGCTTCATAACAGTAATTTTACCATTTTTATTATTATTATAATTGTTAGTAATTTTTTATTTTCTTAAAAAAATTTTTTATTCTTGTTCTCATTTTTTTCTTATTTATACAAGATGAATGAAAAAAATTAACCTAAAATAATCATAATGTACAATATTAAACAAGGAATAACAAATTTTTCTTTCACCATTTTGAAAAAAAGGAAAAAAATACACTAAAATGGCAAAATAAAAAATTACAAAACTGTTAGAAATAACGGAAAATTAGTAATAACCTTTAAAATTCTGTAATACAGAAGAACTCTTTTTCGTTCTTCCTATTGCTTTTGCTTTTGCCTTAATGCATAAACCCTTGCGTCCTTTTAAATTCACCCCTTTCCTTATTTGCAGGTGCCTTTCAAATTCTTTTGTTCCAAATTTTCAATGTTTCCTCGTCTTGCTTCTTTTTTATTTTTAATTTTTTTTTGTTTTGTATTTTCTTATCATTTAGTTTCGTTTTTGTTGCCGAAAATAGTATTAAAAAAAAACAAAATAGAAAGAAAATGAGCACTAAAGAGGCAGAAAAGGAGCAATTTTAAGTGAAAATTTCCATAAAATAAAAATAAAAAGTTACTGAGAATTACTCAATAAAATTCTTTTAATAACACGTTTTTATTTATTTTTTATATTTTGTTGTTGTTGGCTCCTATTCAAAACACTGTTACCAATTAAAAACAATGTAAAATAATAAATGGTAAAATATATACATAAATATATTAGTAATATGTAAAGTTATACAGTAGGTAAAATAAAATGAAAATATAAAAATTAGCCACATTCTTACTTGTAGTATATTATGTATTAAACAGTGTCCGAGGTTCAGAATTCAGATCTTGTCCAAGATCTATCAAAGCATTCGATGGAAAATTTTGAAAATGAGCAGTGGTATGATAAATTCCTTTTCAACAAATTATTGATCTTGGTGCCAAAGTATTATCTATCATGCAGATTAAAGATTCCAATTGGGTTTTATCCAAATCTCCTGTTTTCGTAACGCATAATAAATGGCAAAATTATACATTTTGTATGAAAGAGATCTTACCTTATATTGACCGAATTATTACAATTTCCATTTAAAATATAAGTGACCTTGCTAATTGTCAATGGAGTGAAAATTATCCAAAACCCAATCATTACTTTTTATTTGTTTTAGTCAATACAATGATCTTATTTTAAGAAAGCATATCATTAAGTTTCAACTCTTATACACCTTGTATTCTGCTATATAACACCATAACACATTTAGATGCCAAAAACTTAAACGTTTTTTACCCTAAACTTTATTTCACCCGCAACTTTATTATAATAGTTAAACAATAATCAAACTGTAATAATACCTATAATAAAAATAAAAAAAAAATTAAAATGTCGAAACCAGGAAAGAAAATTGTAGAGAATTCAATTTAGGCTTTTTTTAATTTTTGAATGAAATAAATATGGATTTGCCGTTATTATAGAAATATTGTAGCGGTAGTAGTTTGTAATTCCAAAATTGTTTTAAATTTTAAGGGCTTAGATAGACATGTAATTTTTAGTTTAGCAACTGTTTGATTGCTTACTTGTATTCCATAGGTTTATATTGAAGCACGCAGATTTAAACAATTAAACTATTGGGAATTAAGCAATTAAACTATTTGTAATTTTTTACAAACTAATTGCAATTTTTAAATAACACATTCAATTTGAATATTGAGGCAATAAGTTTAGTTGGTTAGATGTGCGCGCATTAAGCAGTAATTGCAAAACTAAAATTGCATGTTTTCCTAAATCCTAATATTTTTATTAATCTAATTATTTTGCTGTTCTTTAAATTCGACTTTATTGTATTGGAATTAGTCTATGTCTTTTGAATTGGTTCATGATAATAAATTCTGGTTCAGGCTATAATATTGAAATTCTTTCTTAAAAAAGTCAATCAGGTTTACAATATGTTTGCATTCTTTTTATCAAACACGTCATGGGTTTTATATAATCTAATTTAGTTACCCTTACGCAGCGAAAATTAATATTTGCCAAACAAAAAATTTCAAAACAAAGGTTATAGTTTTGAATTATATTCAGTTCCACATCAGCACACCTGTTTCAGCTGTTATACATCAACATGTAACAGTTACATTGTCTTTAATTATGTTCTTAATTCGAGCATAATTTTCGTATTTATTTTTGCCGTTTCTATACTTCTACTCCTAAAGGTTTATTTACATAACTATTCTAGTATATTTTCTACAAAATTCTACAAAACCCCGACAAGTCCGATAGCCACGATTTTTGTTTATAATATTTTTACTTTTATTTTATTATTATGCAAAATACCTTTAAAGGAAAAACATAAAAAAGAAAAAAAAAAAACTGTTTTATCCATGTCCATGCCAAAAATTACAAAATAAGTGTAGAAAGGGCTAAGTATACAAAAAAAAGGAAGAAAACAGCCTAAAAATATGTGAAATAGTGTTTTTGTTTCCTATAAAAAAGAATATTATTCTTGAAATAGTTCCATTTTTCTTGAACCCTACTTTCATAGTACCTACATTATGTTTGTATAGTTTATATATATGGTGGAGTAATGAATACAATATTTTTGCTCTTTCTATGGTACCTTCTAGATTTTATAACAAAAAAAATTTTTTTTTTATTTGAAACAAAAAAATTTTCTGTTCTTTTCGTTTATTTTTATTTTAATAGTTTGTTTTATTTTCTTTTCTATGTTTCTATTTTTACTGATTTTGATAATTATAGCAATTTTCATTTAATCCACTTCAAGACCATGAGAACCTTCTTCCTTGTTCTTTTGCGTTTTAGTTTTTCTACTTTTCTACTTTTATTTGGGAAATTTGGACACAAAATGGTTTTAATGCCAAAATAAGTATCAATAAGGATATCATTTAAATAATTAGGGATTGGACTTAAGCAGGGCATATAGAAAACAATGAAAATTTAAAAGGAAAAGTTTTTTCTTTATTTAATAAT